GCACCTTCCTACCACTTGCTCCAAAGCCAGTGGAGATTCCAGTTGCATCTAGCTGGGTGGCTTGCCGTCCAAATGACTCTCTATGGAATGTTCTTCCTTCTTCATTAACCATAATTCTGTGTCCCAGAGTTAATAACTTTCCTCCCAGCTAGCTGCAAGGTTGATCACTACCCACCGCCATGTTTACAAAGCAGCTGACCTCTGTCTACCTGTGTTTAACAAGCGTTACGTTAAATGTCTCAGTGACCTATTTTCCTGATATAGATACAATGACATCCTCATATACACGCCCCTCCAATGGTCCCTCTAATTTTTTCCATCTGTGTGTGGAATACATTTTGTTGTGTGCACCAAGGCATGTGCAGATTTGCACCACCAATAGAAAAACATGCTGCTGGATGTGGCAGCTGTGGGTGCTCTGCTGGCACCCAAATCTCTTCTGGGCAGCTGCCCAAGTGCTCTGCTTACAGGGAACACTGCACCCATCTTCCTTACACACACACACACACACACTCTCTCTCTCTCTCTCTCTCTCTCAGACTTCCATGCCCCCTCCCACTCCCACTCCCAGCGGAGAGATCTCGCTTTGAGCAGTAGGCTGTGCAGGGAGTACACAGCCTGGGTGATAGATGTGCTGCCTCTCTGTGCACTGGGCACAGATAGCACCTCTTTTATTATCGCTGCCTTGTGATTAATGTTGATGAACACACTTAAAGTGCTGCCAGTGCTCACCACCTGGCTCTGATGTGCTCAGAATCCCAGCAGGCAGCCTGCTCCTTGGGACCCTGTACTATGCAGCTGGGAGGGACATTACTGCTTCCTGCCCTCTCCCAGCTTTTGAATGCTCTTTAGTGTGGGAGCTACTTGCTATACCACTGGCAATGCTCACATTTTAAGTCCTCATGGCACTTGAAAAGGAAGGCAGGACATAAGACATGAGTATTTGGGGTGGGAATTTACATCAGGGCGGCAGTCACTGGTTTGGGACTCCTGCCCTTTTTCTGTCATGCTCCCTACATTATATCTGCACCTTGGTGGAAATCTGAACCCTGAGACCTGACCTACAGGGCTACCCAACTATTCCAGCTGCAGGCCCTCACACACAGCTTTGCTGATGTCCATCTATCCTGATCATCAGTCACCTGGCTATTCCAAGCCTCCAGAATCTGCAAAGTTTAGTCTGAGACAATGAAATTCAGTTCATTTTGGACCCATGACAGAATTTGAATCCAGTTGTCCTGACTTGAAAAGCTGATGCTGCAATCTGGGGTGAAGCCAGATCCATTGTAACGGGGCTGTGAAACTAGTGTAGGTTCTTTCCCATCAGCTAAATGAATTAACAGATTCAGAAGGACCTTCTGTGCTGCTTTCCCCAATCTTTGTGCAGTTATTAGCTGGCTTTTTTAACACACCACAGCACGTCCTACTGCGAACCCACCAGTTTCCACAGCTAAATGGATTTGATCTGGATCAGTGCTTACATCATTCTAAGTATCACCTAGTTGTTGCAGTGGGCGGTGTTGGTGATTCAATGCTCTCTCTGTCCAGTCAATACTGGTAATGCCCCCATGTGGAGTTAGGAGTCAGTACTGGCCCCACTTCCATAGCATGGTGATAGGAGAACTATGCTGATATGTGACCACTTATTCAGGGACTTTCCATAAGAATTGGGGTGTGGTTAATTAAATTCCAGTTTGGGTAGCGTTCTGACACTCCTAATGTCATCCCTGCAGAGTCAACAGAATAAGGAAATCTTTGTTTCTTGTTCTAATGTAATACAGTGCAGCATAGCTCTGTGGCTGGCAAACAGCTGCCTCATCCCACCCCAGAGGCGGATGCATTTCAGTGGTTGGCAGAGATCCCTGCAAGGGACTGTGTGATGTTTGTATATACGGATGTGTTTGGCATTTGAATCCCTTGCCCCTTTCATGGGCTCCCTTTCACCTTCCAGTGGGGATGCCTGCGGAGAGGGGTTTCAGTGTGCTGGTTACACTGCATTGAGCGGGGTGGAGGTGGAGGAATGGTAGGAATAATTTACAATGATTGTTTTTTAATTGCTCTGGTGCCCTGCTGGGGAGCTCTTTGGACCTTTTTTGGGGGGAAGCCACGAGGCTGGGACTAGGGCTGGGGCATATGTTACTGAGAGGCTGCGCAAGTGCATTGGAGGCCTGGCACTGCTCCTGCCCCAATGAGATACTGGGCTGGGAGCTGTTTACTTACTCACTAGGCTCGGGGGCCGATTTAAATGTTTACTTACTCTCAGGAGGCTTTTAACTGCGATAAAATCACCTGGCGATAAGGCGGCCGCAGCATGGGGCGGACGCGGCTGTGACAGGATGATTTAAACAGCCTCTTGCTGTCGCTTTATCTTTCCAGACATCATAAATCAGATTAGCTCTGGACTGAGGTGGCGGTGGGTGGAGGACTGAGCAATGAAGAAAAGAAGACACTCCCGTTATAGAAACCAGCCACAGGCTGTATCTCCCCCAGACAGACCCCCACCCCAACAGACAGATGCCATCCTGTCTGCCTCAGAGGTGCACCCTGGATTTGCCTCTTGCATCCCCAGACAAATGCTCCTCCCTTGTCTGTCCCCTCATGCCCAGTTCTGCCCTGACAGATGCCCCAGTCAGAGAGCTTCCTCATCTGCCCCTGTGTCTTTCCTCTCCACTAATAGATTCCCCTGTTTCTACCCAGCTGGATGCCAGTTCCCTCCAGTTCTGCCATAGACAAACACTTCACACCTGTCTTCACAAACCCCTCTGTGACGGACTCCCCCCCCCCCCATGCTTTTGGAAATGGACTCATGGACATGAATATGCATAACTCAAAGGTGGTTTGAGCAAAATATTTCATGTAACCCATCGATCTTCATGTAATGATCTGCTGGTTCTGTTTATCTTACTCTGGTGTATGTATCATTTGCATGTGGAAAATTAGACACATGGAGTGGTGAACACTTTGTGAGTTTTCAGTGTGTGAATGGGAGACATGAAGGGTGTTACCTGCAACTTCTAGATGAGCCACTGTTAAACAATCTTTTGTCCTTAAGTCTGAGCAGTGGTTGGTAGGGAGGGGCCTCAACTCCTTAACAAAAGGGATAGGAGAGGACAGGCCTTGGTCTTTTGGCTGGGCTGCCCCTGAAGGAAGGGGCCAGGGACCCCAGGGCGGGGCAGGGGAGAGAGACAGCCCTGGTTTAGAGTGGCAGCTGGAAAAGAGGTTTTAGGGTGAGTTTAAGTTTGCACTGAGGTTTCAGTTGAGAATTAGCCAAGCGGTTTTGTTTCTTTTGATTTGTAACCTTTGCTCTACCTACTTTCACTTATTACTACTTAAATCCTACTGCTTCAGCTTAATAAAACCATTTTTATTTTCTGTCAAACCCAGTGTAAATTACTGCTACCTGGGGGGGGCAACCAGTGTGTGCACAGTCCCTCTTCCATTGCTAAAGGGAGCGTACCTAATTCTTTGGGGTTTGATCCCATCTGGGGAGTGCTCTCTCAGGAGGCTGGGCCCTAAACTGCACTGTCCTTGGACCTGAAGTGGTTCAGTGTCTGTGCTGCTTCTTGGTGGGGGCAGGAACCTCGGCTTGCGGCCTTGGCTGGGGGAGACCAGCAGAGCTGGCACAGCAGGACCAGGCAGTGAGGAGCCCCAGAGAGCAGGAAGACTAGTGGCAGTGGCCATGTCAGCACCCTTGGAAGCACCCTCAAGGGGTCATCTATGACCGCACCCTGTCACACGCTCCTCAGTTGTCTGGTGGATGGGCACCTCCCTATTTCTGAATGCCCCTAGCCATCAGACCCCAAAATATGTGCTAGCTCCTCCTTTCCCTGTAATCACTAGACCCCAGGGTCCATGCCAGCAGCTTACTCCCCACTGCTCCCTGTTGTCATCAGTCCCTGGCATACATGCTGCGGGCAGACTCTCCCCCCCCCC